AAAAAAAAAAAAAAAAAAAAAAAAAAAAAAAAAAAAAAAAAAAAACTTACTCGCATACTTTACATGGCGTGGTGAATGCATGTGGGTCTGCTTCTATATTATAAACTTTTGGTATTTGTTTAGCTACAGCAGAACATTTATTATTAAATTTATAATTAGAATGAAGACAGAATAGTTTCGTTGCTTTCTTGCATGCGTTGCTGCTGTTGCTGCTGCTGCTGTTTATATATTTTATTTCACACTGCATGATAGGGCATCTACAGTGACAAGCAGCAAGAACACCAGCTAGTGCTGCTGCTTCTTTTTCTGTATATTTATCTTTATAATATTTATCTATTAAGGATAAATAATTTATACTTTCGGTGTCTATACACCCGAATGCAGGGCATGCATCTTCATTTGAGAAATATGCTGTTAGTGCTGCTAGTTCTTCTGCTGTGCATTGCCCTTGACGTGGGTCTGCTGCTGCTGCTGCTGCTGCTGCTTCTGCTGCTGCTGCTGCTGCTGCTTGCTCCGCTTCATGCTGCTGTTGCTGCTGCTGCTGCGGCTCTTGCTGCAGAGAAGAAGAAGGCTCCTCAGCAGCTGCAGCAGCTTCGTGGGGTCCATGGGTATCTGCATCTTCTTCCTCGTGCTGCTGCTGCTGCTGCTGCTGCTGCTGCTGCTGCTGCTGCTGCTCGTGCTGCAGTTCATCATGGGCTGAGTGAACCTCGTCCTCCTCTGGATGGTGCTCTGTGTCTTCGTCTCCACTGTGCTGCTGCTGCTGCTGCTGCTGCTGCTGCTGCTGCTGCTGCTGCTCGGGTCCCTGCTGGCCGTATACGTTGTCTTCGTCGTGTGCTGCTGCTGCTTCTTCTTCTTGAGCATAAGCAGGGTCATCTTGCTGCTGCTGCTGCCTCACCCCTTCGTGCTGCTGCTGCTGCTGCTGCTGCTGCATCCCCTCATAGTGGCTGGGGTAGTCAAACATGTGCTGCTCGTCTTCATGATCCTCTTCTTCTATGTACTGCTGCTGCTTCTGCTGCTGCTGCTGCTGCTGCTGCTGCTGCTGCTGCTGCTGATCGAAGGGGTGATCCTGCTGCCCTTCCGGCATGTAGTAGTGGCCCTCCATATCTTCTGGGTGGTGGTGTTCCTCTCCTTCATATTGCTGCTGCTGCTGCTGCTGCTGCTGCTGCTGCTGCTGCGGCTGCTCGTGATAGTCCTCATAGTAACGGTGATGCTCATCGTCGGAATAGCTTGGGGGCTCCTGCTGCTGCTGCAGGTGCTCTGTGTCTGCTGCAGCTCCCGGTGTATGTACAGCTGCTGCTGCTGCTGCAGGGTCTGCTGCTGCTGCTGCTGCTGTTGCTGCTGTTTCGTGTTCTGCTGCTGCACTCAAATAGCCACTGCTTGGGGTTGTCTCCTCATGCTGCGGGGCCCCTTCATCGTATACACCCTCGACAGGCTCATGCTGCTCTGTTGCTGCTGCTGCTGCTGCTGCTGCTGCAGCAAGCAGGCAGCTACTGCTGTGCTGCTGCTGCGGTGACTCATGCAGCAGCAAAGCCGCCAGCGCAGCAGCAGCAAGCAGCACCCGCGGCATGCTGAGGACCAGAAGAACTGAAATATTATATAAAATACAAAACCTGTAATATTAAAAAGCAGAAAAAAAAACAGCAGCAGCAGCAGCAGCAGCAGCAGCAGCAAACTGCAGCACAGACACAACGATAGCTGCTGCGGCAGGGGGGAGAGCAGCAGCAGCAGCAGCAGCAGCACAGGTCAGGGGCCGTTGCTCAGCAGCAAAAGAAGAGATAAGGAGCATAAAT